AGAAAAAAATAATTCAATTTTTTTCAAAAAAAAAATGTTTAGTTTTTTTTTTCACATATATACAATTTTTTTTTAAAAAACGTTTTTTCAATTTGTAAGTTGATATTTTAAAGTTTTGAAAATCAAAATATATGGCGATTCCGATTTTAACCGAACCTTTTTTTTTATATTTTGGACTCGGGTTTCATGGTTTCGTATTGTTGTTCATGTCTTTTCCCCTCATTTCTCATTGAGTTTGAGTTTGAGTTTTGAAGTGTCTTTGGTGTGTTTGAAATAGGTTGGTTACTAGTTGGTTCAAACTATTGTTATCTAGAATTTGGCTCTTTGCTTGAACGAAACTTCCTGCGCTCGAGCGAGCTTTGTGAGCTCCTAGTATTTTTGTAGGCCTGCAAAGATACTGGGGAGGTAGTGTTCTTTGCTCGAGTGATGCTCTTCTGTCTGTAAAACTTCTGGGAGCGTGCATTCTGCGCTTAAGCGAAGCTTCTTGCACTCAAGCGGAACAACTTATTATGTTTAGTCGCTCGAGCGACAACTCATGTGCTCGAGCGAGTTGCACGTATACCAGTTCACAGTAGCACCTTTTTACATCACTTTTTCATATCTTTTTCTCTCAAAACCCTAGATCAACCCCCTCTCTCTAAAACCCAACTTCTCTCTACAAATACACCTAGATCTAAGGATCTCTCTACCCTACTGTTTTTGATGAAAAGATATAGCACTCTAGGGGTTCTCTTTTGAGCCGAATAAAGCTTGGTTTGGGTGTCTTTGAAGTTCCTCTATTTCTTCCTTGGTCTCCTAAGCTTGAGGTAGGGACTTTCTAAACTATTCTATGGTTCTTAACTTAGTTATTTGTTGATGTGTAAGAAATGTTGAAATTTGGGATGATTTTGAACAAACCTTGGGTTTTGGCTTAAAATTAAAAGAGGGGTTTTCAAATGTATGTGGTAAAAATGGTTATGGGAGTAAATTGGAGGTTATGTTGTGGTAAATTTGTTGATTTTAATACTTGGGGTCAATTTTGGGAAGAAAATGGAGTTTTTCCTAAAATGCCTCAAAGAGTTATTTTGTATAAATAAATAAAATTGGTATTGGGAATGTGAAATGGGACGGGTGTTTATATAAATGGTGAAGTTGGATGTGTATTACCACTCACCTATGGAAGTTTTGATAATTTATCTGTCATGGAGATTGTATATCTATTTAGAAGTATCTATTTTGAGCTATCGGTAGAAGATAGCTATGATTGTTGTAGAAATTGCATGATGATTAGGTGAATTGAAACTAACCTCTTATTCGTTGTCATCGAATATTGCTATGTCTTTAATACATTGTAAATGTATGATGTTTGGGAGAAGAAAGGTGATGGACTCCATTAAATTAAGTTGCCCTGTATGTCCTAAGTGAAAGTCCCGAAAACCGCGTGTAGACATGGGTGTTGATTCCTACAGACGAAATTTCCGCAAAATGGCAAATAGAATTGTTTGTGTAATGGTTGTGTTGGTTAAAGACCCATTAAGTTATACCCTCGGTTACTCATAAATTAAGATAAAATGGATTGAGATACATAGCTTGGCATAGTGTGGTTTTGTAAAAGAGTCATAAATGATTTGATCGTGGGGCATCGTGTATGCATGTTATACTTATATCACTGTTAAGATTCATTTATTGTGTTAGATTATCTCTACCGGGCTTTGGCTCACCCTACTTGGGAAAATTATTTTCAGGTACAAGTGATATGCCTCTACTACAGACTTAGCTTGGAAGGACTGTTGAGCCGACGACTCAATTTTATTTATTTTGTATTAAATTTTTGTACAAGCTTAAGGTTTTATTTGTATTGAGCCTATGACTCACTTTTGATGTACCTAAGCCTTGACTTGGAAAGATGTAAGCCTTTAGGGCGTATGACTACTTGTTTAGCTTTTATTACATTATTGTGGTTTGGTAACACATGTTGTAGATTCAGGATGTCCTATCTATGAATGTATATCGCATGTGTCACCCTTTTGTGCAATTGAATCTGATGTAATAGAAGGATACTTTACTCTGGTTTATACTATTATTCACTATCCGTTTGGATAGTTTAATGTAATTATTTTGGGGCGTTACAAAATAAATGTCAAATCATCATGTTACCTTTATAAATAATCATAAATGATGAACAATCATTGTTTGAAGGGTAATTCCAATTAGTAAAAATTTAATGGGACTTGAATGTTTAAAAAATCTAAGTTAAGACATAAGGAGTATAAGTTCATAAATTAGAACTTGTGTGTAAATATCTTTAAAAAAAATTCTATTAAAATAGTCAAATCTCAAACCACATTCCAAACCACACCTAAGTGAGATACTCTCAACACAAAAATGCATAAATTTCAAGTAACGTTTTATAATTGCCTTTTCGAAAATTTGTAGAAACCATCGAGACAAATTTGAGAAATGACCAAAAAAAAGAAAAGAAAAGAAAACCTTGGATGATGAGAAAGATGCACTCGTCATTAGGCAACACCAATCAGTTCATAAGTTATAACCTTAATGAGCCAAATCCAAATTGAAGTTAAAATATCAAGCATAAATGGGGAGCTAAATTAAGATTTATCAGTTTGAATTTCAAACCAACTTATCCTGGAAATAAGGGTGAATAACTCACAATCTCATCTATTGGGGAGATAGAATTGTGGGTGGTCATATTTCTTACATCTATACATATTACGTATAATGTGATATGGGTTTTAATCGAATAGTTCTTGTGGAAATTTTTTCTCTCTCTCTACTTCTCTGCCATGGGAGAACAACCATGCCTTTATACTGTGAATAGTGTGGGTAGTTCTCTAGTAGTTTTACCCCACTGTTGGGAATTATTTGAAGACATCAATGGAGAGGCACGTGATTCACTCACATGATCTATAGATTTGGTTTGAGCGTAAAAGATATGTCTAAATCCATTTATTTTAGCAGTGTATTATTTCTTATTTTTTTTCCTACATTGATATTAGAGCCATTGTTAGGTGGTTTCGTGTTATTTGTGCATGAATATATATTGGTATGATTTATGCATAAAAATTGATATTTTTCGAACCATCTTTGATCATCCTGAATTTCATATATGTTGTAGTCCATATACTATGTAGTATATCTACAAAGTTTTGGAAAAAATTAGACAATCAAATTTTGAGAAATATGGAGATCTATAATTGATTTTCGTTACTTTGACTGCATATTGTTTTTTCATGATTCGCTTTTATGCTGTAAAACTTACATATTTGGAATCCTTGTTTTGAGACATTTGAAACGATATATTATGGGCATGATTCCACCTGATAGATTGAGAGAAATCATAAACTCTAATTTTGGTTTGTTTTTATTTTTTTGATAGTTCATTGTAGAAGATGAAGTACAGAAAATAACTGTAACGCCCTACTATTTCATACATGAATCCATCGCAACCAATATAACAACGCACCTCAAAGCCATCCTTTTCACTGAATTGAGAATTAAAATTTACAACTTCTCTATTTACATGTCCTTAAAACCTTGTACCCAACTCCAAGTTCGACAAACGTGATGACAATTACAATAGAAGAACCCCTTGGTTGTACAAGACAACAACAAAATAAGTCAAGCAGCCCTATTACAAAACTCTAAGTCTTTACAGTAAAATATTCTCAACTGTCAATCCCAAAATCGCTTACTTCAAGTCACCACTATAGTTGTACAACATTATTTCCTGAAAAATAGAATAGGGGTGAGCTATATGCCCAGTAGGAATACATTTAACCAAGTATTTAATCATTTGAATAAATTTATGGCGCCCTTGAGACAACATAATAAGGAGTTATGAATACATGTAATCTTCATTATTCACTACAACAAAAATAGTCTTTAGAGACGAAAACTAATGACGAAAAAAAATTTTGTCACGAAATACATATCTTTTAATGACGAAAATCATATTTCGCCTCCAAATGTACCATTTTTGGAGACAAAAATAAAATTTCGTCACCAATATAAATCACAATAAAAAAAATAGGTGACGAAATTATTTTTCGTCATTATTTATATTTTTTTTGTCACCAAATATCTTCCCGCTAATATTTTCGGAGGGTGCCAAAATTTTGAGACTTTTAGTGACGAAAAAATTGGTCACCAATTATAAAATTATTAATGACGAATATATTTTTGTCACCAATAATTTTTAATATTTTAATATCATTTAGTGACAAAACGATTTTCTCTCTCTCTCTCTCTCTCTCTCGATGCTCCCTCTGATGTATTTTTCTAATGTATATGCTCTGTATACATATGAAATATGCTCCATATACATATAAAATATGCTCTGTATAATGCTCTGTATACAAATTCGATGTTCCAATTGGAAACCCAAAATAAAAAAATAAAAAAAACCTAATGGAAATCTGTTTTGAATTGGATTTCTCCTAGGTACAAACAATGATGTGCCTGCTGGATTATCAATAGATAGGCAATTGATGCTTTAATTTTTTATATATTAAGTTTAATATAGTTTTTAAAGAAATTAGAAATCTATTAGGAGTAGATTATCAATATAGAAGAGTAATTAGAAATCTATTTAAAAGGAGCAGATTATCATATTAAGTTTATATATACTCAATACTATAAGTTTGAATCTGGGTAAGGGGGTTTTGATTTGGGCTAATGGGAATCGATATGAAGGGAATTGGGAAGATGGTGTTCCTAAAGGAAATGGGGTTTTTGCTTGGCCTGATGGGAGTTCTTATACTGGGATTTGGAGTGATAATTTGCATAATCGGCAGCCTGAGCAGCCGTGTTTCGTGTTGCCGCCGTCCAGGAAGAGATCGTCGGTGGACGGTGGGAGGGGTAGTTTGGCTGAGAGGAATGCCAATTTTCCCAGAATTTGTATCTGGGAATCTGATGGTGAAACTGGGGATATTACTTGTGATATTGTAGACAATGTGGAGGCTTCAATTTTTTATAGAGATGGGGTTGGGGTTGGGGTTGGGAGTGAGTCTTCTTGTGGAGGAGCTCCTGCTGGGCAGTAGAGGAAGAGTCCTTGTTGGTATGAAGGCTTTGATGTCAAGAAACAAGGGCAGATGATATCCGAGGGACATAAGAATTATGAATTGATGCTTAATCTCCAACTGGGTATCAGGTTGATTATTGGATTGGATTCTTTTGCTTTTGCTTTTTCATCTGTTGCATCTGTTGACGTTATTTGGGTATTGGGTTTTTGTTGGTTGGTTTTGTGTTTTGTGAAATTCTTATTGATTTGTAGATACTCTGTTGGGAAGAATGCGTCCATTACACGGGCGCTTAAACCAGCGGATTTTGATCCCAAGGAGAAGTTCTGGACTAGGTTTCCAACTGAAGGATCGAAATGCACGCCGCCACACCAGTCAGTGGACTTCAGATGGAAGGACTACTGTCCCATGGTGTTTAGGTATATACTCTATAAGAAATTCAACTAAGCATGTTGTAGGTTTTTTTTCCCGGATTTTGATTTGAAATTGATTTGGTTTAGTTATTTTTTGGATTGCCAAATTTTGGAAGATTGAACTCTCATTATTTCATCAACATCATTGTGATAATTGCATTGTTGGATATTTAGACATCTTAGGGAAATGTTAGGAATAGATCCTGTGAATTACATGCTGGCTATTTGCGGAAGCGATGCCCTTAGGGAACTGTCCTCCCCTGGCAAGAGTGGATGTTTGTTCTACCTAACACAAGATGATTGATTTATGATCAAAACTGTGAAGAAATTTGAAGTTAAGGTTAGTTGTCCATACCCAACATGTCATTTAACCAATATCTGAAATAGAGAGATGATAGAGCACTCAAATATAGAGATTGAGATTGGTTGTTCTTAATTTAACAAAACATTTGAATCTGGGTTTATTAGAAACTTAATATAGATTTGCATCTGGGTTCATGACATAATTTCCATATGATCTATGTACTCTTAATCATTACTTATAAATCATATGGAAATTATGTCATTTGTAAATTTGATTATAAGAAATAACATAACTCAATACTATAAGGATCGTAACTTAACTCAATATATTATGTTTCTATGCTAATTTAGTAGAAATTTCTTCTTCAACTAAGATAGTGAACTATGCACGTAAAAGCTTGAGAAATATCACAAACACTGAAATATGCACACGTGGCTCCCAATTAGGAAACTACTTTGACATTTGCACTATTCCAACATGTAGGCATGAAACTAAGTCGAAAACTATTCCAACATGTAGGCATGAAACTAGACGAAAAAATGTGCAACAGCCACAAGACGACTCAGGAAACACATCAACCACCTCAGGACGGACCAATGTGAGTTGTAGAAACTTACGGAACTAGCACGGGACTCCCGGTTTGAAAACTAAGTCTAAAAATGCACTTTTTCCACACTTAAGCTTGAAAATAGGCTTTCGGGGGCCAAAATCGTGCAACAGCCACGAGACGGCCCGGGAAACACCTCAAACACCTCGGGACGGACCAATGTGAGTCGTGGAAACTTACGGAACTAGCACGGGACTCTCGGTTTGAAAACTAAGTCCAAAAATGCACTTTTTCACACTTAAGCTTGAAAATAGGCCTCGGGGGCCAAAATCGTGCAACAGCTACAAGACAGCCTGGGAAACATCTCAAACACCTCGGGATAGACCAATGTGAGTTGTAGAAACTTACGGAGCTAGTACGGGACTCACGGTTTAAAAACTAAGTCCAAAAATGCACTTTTCCACACTAAAGCTTGAAAATAGGCTTTCGGGGGCCAAAATTGTGCAACAGCTATGAGACGGCCTGGGAAACACCTCAAACACCTCAGGACTGACCAATGTGAGTTGTGGAAACTCACGGAACTAGCACGAGACTCTCGGTTTGAAAACTAAGTCCAACAATGCACTTTTTCACACTTAAGCTTGAAAATAAGCCTCGGGGGCCAAAATCGTGCAACAGTTACGAGACAGCCTAGGAAACATCTCAAACACCTCGGGATAGACCAATGTGAGTTGTGGAAACTTACGGAACTAGCACGGGACTCCCGATTTGAAAACTAAGTCCAAAAATGCACTTTTCCACACTTAAGCTTCAAAAATAGGCCTTCGGGGGCCAAAATCGTGCAACAGCCACGAGACGGCCCGGGAAACACCTCAAACACCTCGGGACGGACCAATGTGAGTTGTAAAAACTTACGGAACTAGCACGGGACTCCCGGTTTGAAATCTAAGTCCAAAAATGCACTTTTTCCACACTTAAGCTTAAAGATAGAGGCCTTCGAAGGCCCAAAATCGTGAAATAGGCACGAGACGGCCTGGGAAACACCTCAAACACCTCGGGAGGGACCAATGTGAGTTGTGGAAACTTACGGAAGTAACACGAGATTCCCAGTTTGAAAATTAAGTCCAAAAATGCACTTTTTCACACTTAAACTTCAAAAATAGGCCATTGGAGACCAAAATCGTGCAACAGCCAGGAGACGGCTTGGGGAACACTTCAAACACCTCAGGATGGACCAATGTAAGTTGTGAAAACTTACGGAACGGCCAAAATCGTGCAACAGCCACGAGACTTCCCGGGAAACACCTCAAACACCTCGGGATGGACCAATGTGAGTTGTGGAAATTTACGGAACTAGCACGGGACTCCCGGTTTGAAAACTAAGTCTAAAAATGCACTTTTTCACACTTAAGCTTAAAGATAGGCCTTCGGGGGGCCAAAATCGTGCAACAGGCATGAGACGGCCCGGGAAACACCTCAAACACCTCGGGATGGACCAATGTAAGTTACGGAAATTTGCGGAACTAGCACGGGACTCCCGGTTTGAAAACTAAGTCCAAAAATGCACTTTTTCACACTTAAGCTTGAAAATAGGCCTTCGGGGGCGAAAATCTTGCAACCGCCACGAGACGGCCCGGGAAACACCTTAAACACCTCGGGATGGACCAATGTGAGTTGTGGAAATTTACGGAACTAGCACGTGACTCCCGGTTTGAAAACTAAGTCCAAAAATGCACTTTTCCACACTTAAGATTCAAAAATAGGCCTTCGGGGGCCAAAATCTTGCAACAGCCACGAGACGGCCCGGGAAACAGCTCAAACACCTCGAGATGGACCAATGTGAGTTGTGTGGAAATTTACGAAACTAGCATGGGACTCTCGGTTTGAAAACTAAGTCCAAAAATGCACTTTTTCACACTTAAGTTTGAAATAGGCCTTTGGGGGCCAAAATCATGCAACAGCCATGAGATGGCCCGGGAAACACCTCAAACACCTCGGGATGGACCAATGTGAGTTACGGAAACTTACGGAACTAGCACGGGACTCCCGGTTTGAAAACTAAGTCCAAAATTGCACTTATTCACACTTAAGCTTCAAAATAGGCCACCGGAGGCTAAAATCATGCAACAGTCAGGTGACGGCCCGGGGAACACCTCAAACACTTCGGCAGAGACCAATGTGAGTTGTGGAAACTAACGGAACTAGCACGAGACTCCCGGTTTAAAAACTAAGTCCAAAATTGCACTTATTCACACTTAAGCTTCAAAATAGGCCACCGGAGGCTAAAATCATGCAACAGTCACGTGACGGCCCGGGGAACACCTCAAACACCTCGGCAGAGACCAATGTGAGTTGTGGAAACTAACGGAACTAGCACGAGACTCCCGGTTTAAAAACTAAGTCCAAAATTGCACTTATTCACACTTAAGCTTCAAAATAGGCCACCAGAGGCTAAAATCATGCAACAGTCACGTGACGGCCCGGGGAACACCTCAAACACCTCGGCAGAGACCAATGTGAGTTGTGGAAACTAACGGAACTAGCACGAGACTCCCGGTTTAAAAACTAAGTCCAAAATTGCACTTATTCACACTTAAGCTTCAAAATAGGCCACCAGAGGCTAAAATCATGCAACAGTCACGTGACGGCCCGGGGAACACCTCAAACACCTCGGCAGAGACCAATGTGAGTTGTGGAAACTAACGGAACTAGCACGAGACTCCCGGTTTAAAAACTAAGTCCAAAATTGCACTTATTCACACTTAAGCTTCAAAATAGGCCACCAGAGGCTAAAATCATGCAACAGTCACGTGACGGCCCGGGGAACACCTCAAACACCTCGGCAGAGACCAATGTGAGTTGTGGAAACTAACGGAACTAGCACGAGACTCCCGGTTTAAAAACTAAGTCCAAAATTGCACTTATTCACACTTAAGCTTCAAAATAGGCCACCAGAGGCTAAAATCATGCAACAGTCACGTGACGGCCCGGGGAACACCTCAAACACCTCGGCAGAGACCAATGTGAGTTGTGGAAACTAACGGAACTAGCACGAGACTCCCGGTTTAAAAACTAAGTCCAAAATTGCACTTATTCACACTTAAGCTTCAAAATAGGCCACCAGAGGCTAAAATCATGCAACAGTCACGTGACGGCCCGGGGAACACCTCAAACACCTCGGCAGAGACCAATGTGAGTTGTGGAAACTAACGGAACTAGCACGAGACTCCCGGTTTAAAAACTAAGTCCAAAATTGCACTTATTCACACTTAAGCTTCAAAATAGGCCACCAGAGGCTAAAATCATGCAACAGTCACGTGACGGCCCGGGGAACACCTCAAACACCTCGGCAGAGACCAATGTGAGTTGTGGAAACTAACGGAACTAGCACGAGACTCCCGGTTTAAAAACTAAGTCCAAAATTGCACTTATTCACACTTAAGCTTCAAAATAGGCCACCAGAGGCTAAAATCATGCAACAGTCACGTGACGGCCCGGGGAACACCTCAAACACCTCGGCAGAGACCAATGTGAGTTGTGGAAACTAACGGAACTAGCACGAGACTCCCGGTTTGAAAACTAAGTCCCAAAATGTAATTTTTTACACTAAAGCTTGAAAATAGGCCTTCGGGGGCAAAAATCGTGCAACAGCCACGAGACGGCCCGGGAAACACCTCAAACACCTCGGGAGGGACCAATGTGAGTTGTGCAAACTTACGGAAGTAGCACGAGATTCCCCGTTTGAAAACTAAGTCCAAAAATGCACTTTTCCACACTTAAGCTTCAAAAATAGGCCTTCGGGGGCCAAAATCGTGCAACAGCCACGAGACGGCTCGAGAAACACCTCAAACACCTCGGGATGGACCAATGTGAGTTGTGGAAATTTACGGAACTAGCACGGGACTCCCGGTTTGAAAACTATGTCCAAAAATGTACTTTTTCACACTTAAGCTTAAAGATAGGCCTTCGGGGGGCCAAAATCGTGCAACAGGCACAAGACGGCCCGGGAAACACCTCAAACACCTCGGGATGGACCAATGTGAGTTGTGGAAACTTACAGAACTAGCACGAGACTCCCGGTTTGAAAACTAAGTCCAAAAATGCACTTTTCCACACTTAAGCTTCAAAAATAGGCCTTCGGGGGCCAAAATCGTGCAACAGCCACGAGACGGCCCGGGAAACACCTTAAACACCTCGAGATTGACCAATGTGAGTTGTGGAAACTTAAATTGGAGTGCTAAAATTTCGATTGTGATGTTTTATGAAAATGAAATAGATTTTGTATTGATTTGTAATAGATATTTTGTTGAACAGGTTATTAAAATGCGCAGGGAATTGTTACTGAAAAAAAAAATTTGGAAGAAAATAGTACCTCTCATTTTTCAAAATTTTTAATTTTTATTAGTGACAAAATAAAAAATGTCCTATGAGTTGTCTCA